CGATAATAAAAATAGTACTAATATTGAACACACAAGTACAACTCACACATTACGAAGAAGTTTATCTATATAAAATGTCAGTGATATTAGTTTTTCTATTTTTTTTTTTTTAAGAAAATGACAGTGGAAAATATCATGACGCCATTTGTGACCTTAGGTCTCTGGTTGGGACACTGAAAGCAATGTGTATACAACAGAAATCAAAGGAAATAATAATAATAATAATAATAATAATAATAATAATCTGCACTGGAAAATCTGCAACTTCTACAGGAAGGAAACTGAAAGAAACTGGTATGAACACCACCCAGACCCGGTTATGGAGATAGGACCTGTTAAAATTCTATGGGACTACACAATACACACTGACAGAACAATCAAGGCCAACCGCCCAGATATTGTTATTAAAGACCACAAACAAAAACGATGCCTCCTTATTGATATGGCAGTCCCTGCTGACTGCAATGTATCTTTGAAGATATTAAAAAGCTAACAAAATACAAGGACCTTGAAATAGAAATCTCAAAAAATTTGGCATATGTGAACATCAACAATCCCTGTTGTAGTTGGAGCCCTAGGACTGGTTGGAAAAGATTGCAGTAGACTCATTGAAGGGATTCCTGGAAGTCCATGCCTCAAGGAGATACAAAAATTGTTCTGATAAGTACAGCCCACACCTTACGAAGGGCTTTATCTATGTAATTTAATTCTTTTTTTTTTTTTTCTTTTTTTTTTGTCAGTGGAAAGTGCCATGACACCATTTCTAACCTTAGGTCCCTGGACGGGACCCGGAAAGAAATGTGTAAACGCCAGAAATCAAAGAAAATAAAAAAAATAATAATAATAATTAGAAATCCCAGCTTAAGAGAAATACAAAAAATTATCTTCATAAGTAGAGCCGACACACTAAGACACTTTGTCCGTGTAACGCTCGTGATGTGATGGGTGTTAGAAAAACAGATCATGAAATATAGCCATAACAACACACCACTACCTGCCTTAGGTCCTCCAGCAGATTTAGTGGGCAGTGTGACCATAGCAGAAATCACGGGTACAGCTCGCACATTAAGAACGGCGTTACCTATGTAAAACGTGTCTGATCTTAGATCGTTTTATTTCATTTTTACGAAAATGTTCACCGGAAAAAATATCATGAATCCATTTCTGACCTTAAGTCTCTGGTTGGAAACCGAAAGGAAATTAGTATACAACAATAATTAATTAGAAATAATAATAATAATAATAATAATAATAATAATAACAACTGTTAAGTAAGAAATCAAGACCATATAGAATTGACGTAATCAGAGGTTTGTGGACAGTGTCAGAGAATTCTGCCCATTGATTGAAAGCATTAGAATTATCAGTGAGATATTTTTAATATGTTACATAAAGCCAGTTTGTTTGGTACAGTACAAAAATTAGGAAAAATACTGGATACCTAATAATACCTAAACAATAAGCCGGGAAAAATCATAAACTACTACTATTACTGCTAATAATAATAATAATAATAATAATAATAATAAGAAGAAGAAGAAGAAGAAAAGATGGAGGAAGAGGAGGAAGAGGAGGAAGAGGAGAAGGAAGTTTCCTCGGAACAGCAAGAATAATCCGGAAGTGATGAACACTTCAGTTAGAGACATATAACATTATACCTAGGAATTGATGCCTACGTCCACACACACACACACACACACACACACACACACACACACACACATTCCCCCCTCTTTATCTATCTATCTATCTATCTATAGCGGTTTATACAAATAAATTTGTCACTTAACTGATAATATATTCAGCACCTCGACTCTAGTTTATATATATATATATATATATGTAAATTAGAAGATCAGCCGATTCCGCTACGTTGGTTTCAACATTTCGGTATCTTCAAGCGATTCCAGTGAATTGATTTCCTAACGCTTTATTTTTTTTGTTTTAAATAAATGAACGCTTTATTATTTAAAAATAAATAAATAAACTCACGACGTGGAGTGTGATGGAACACGGGAAAGAGGAGGAGAAGGAGGAGGAGGAGTAGAAAAGCAAGGGTGTTGGAAATGTATCGATGGGGGTAGTTAAATGAAATTTACATACTTTCTTTTCATTTCTGGTTCATACGAACTCAAAAGGAACTTTTTAGTATGTATGCAACGAGTCATAATTTCCAATCTGTCATTCAAAAGTTTTTTGGGTCTGAAAATGTTATTATTGACAACTTTTCTTGTTGACAAAGGTTGCAGATATTACTATTTTCCAGTTTACAGTCTGATCTTTCTTATTTTTTCCTTTACTTTCAACACGTGGTTGGCTAGTCTGATAGAATATATATACATATATATATATATATATATATATATATATATATATATATATATATATATATATATATATCATTTTATGTTTATACATTCTTTTATAGATACAAATATTTAAGTAAATGCTCTGTAAAAAGAATGTATAAACATAAAATGTCTTAAAATAGTTGTCGGACTTTGTCCATTTCATAATATATAAATATATATGTGTGTGTGTATCCGTAAATCCGTAAATCTAATCTCTCTCTCTCTCTCTCTCTCTATATATATATATATATATATATATATATATATATATATATATATATATAAAATCCTAAAACTTGATTCTTGTCTATTATATAGATATTTAGTAAATTTTGCACCTTTCTGTGGAAGTGCTCGTGGCAAATGGGAAAACTCTGTTGAGTTGAATTTCCAAGCGTTAATGGTTTGCTTGCTTTACACAACCAGCATTGGTAAACTTGTCTTTTTACCTGAGTTAAACACCGATGGGTCTCACGAAAGAAAGATGCAAAAATTCGTCTCAGCATTTACTCTTTCTCTCAACATCTCAGTCTTTTCCTTTTCTCTCTTTTATTCTTTCTCTTTAACTCCTCTCTCTCTTTCTCTTTGTTTTTGTTTGTATTTTGTTCCCTCCCTGCATATATATATATATATATATATATATATATATATATATATATATATATATGAATCTATCAATAAAATAATTATTTAGGAAGTGAGGAGATGTAAGAAATAAAAAAGTGGGGATAAATAAATAAAAGAAGGAAAAACAAACAATGACGGGTATTATATAAAGGAAGGATAGTTGCATGGACGGAAGGAACGATATAAATTAAAAGAAAGAAGCGTGTGTTGAAAGAAGAAAGGCGTTCATGTTATATTCGTCAAGTAATTGCTACAGTAATTGTCCTCCTAAGAAAAAATTCCCTAGCATAATTCTATCGAGAGATTTGTCAACACCTCATAAAAACACCTACCTGCGCGTTAAACCAGGCTTTTATGAGATATTTTTTAACTAAAAGTAAGTAATATTTGTTTCAAATCAGATGAAGTAAATTTTAAATAATCTTTCTCAAATAATGTTCAGAAAAGTATATTTAATATTTGAAATAATTTTTAATAATGAAAATTACATTGTTTTGACAGATTTGTCAAGTTGTCGATTTTAGCATTTTGCTGATAATAAAAAAAATTTCATTCTTATCAATTTAAATTCATTTTGAAATACAAATATAGATAACTATACTCGTTTCCAAAACGCCTCGAACTTTTGATTTGCCAATAATCAATTCAATCTCGAAGGAAAAAAAGATTTAAAAAAAAGAAAGAGCTAGAAACATGAAAGTCTGTCGAAAAAAAATCGCACAGATACAGGTTTGAAGCCCAAAGAAAAAAAACCGATACAAGTAAACAACTAACAAAAGAGCTCAATACAACCGTAGAGCAGACCTGGCTCACTAGGTTTATATATATATATATATATATATATATATATATATATATATATATACAGAATAGAATCAAACTGAGGTAAGAGAGTGATACGAATATAGGGAAAAATACAATGGGATGAAAGAGTGAAGAGTGAGAAAATAGAATCGTATCAAATAGAGAAGAGAAAGAGAGGTAGATATAGAGAAAGAAATAGAATGGGGTAAAAGAGAAACAAGATATAGAGAGAAAGGAGAGAGAGAGAGAAACCTAATGGGATCAAATAGAGAAGAAAGGAGGATAGATACATAGAAAAAGAAACAGCATGGGATCAAACAGTGAAGATATATATATATATATATATATATATATATATATATATATATATATATATATATCTGGAGGAAAATAGTATGGGATCATATAGATAGAATACAGATAGATAGATAGATAGATAGATAGATAGATAGATAGATAGTATGGGATCAAAGAGAGGAGAAAGGCAGCTAGATATATAGATACATAGAATAGGATTAAAAAACAAAAACGGAAGAAATTGAACACGAGAATATCGAAGTTTGGTTAAAAGCCAACTGAATGCTTATCGGAAAGTAAACCTAAGTCTTTGCTATTGTACAGGCGTTGCAAGACGAAAACTCTTTCCCGCTAAAAATTGCCCGAACCCCGCAACTTCCATAACCCGGACCCATCTTCAAGACAGCTAAAATCGACACATACGATCCTTTTAAAATCTCTACCAAGGCACTCAATCCCAATAGTCAGGCACTCTTTCACCTGTCTTTTCATCTCTCTTTCTATTGCCTGCGTCTGTAAGCACGCATCGAACATCTCGATGTCCGCCCCACCCACACATTCCTTTTTATTTCATCCTTTTTAGGACATTGCGTGTCTCTCGTCTACACAGGCCACTCTGGCCCCTGCGTGCCTCCTGACGGACAGTGCTTGATTTTCAAGTCATCACGATCGGCGTTGACCCCGTTTTTCAAAAGTAACAGTCTCCAGGCCCCGCCCGTCTCTGTTCCTTTGCGAAAAGTCTTACATACCCCCCACCGCTTGCTTTTTTTTTTTTTTTTTTTTGAACCAAACACTCCTTAACCATCACATTGGCTAATTTCCTTCCCAACGATTTCTTCTTACACTATTACTGATTTATGACGATGACAAAAAACCCCTGATGCGAAACCGCCCAATAAATTGAATCAGGATCCGTGTCCGATGAGCCGACCGGCCTTTTCTCCAACCATCCATTCATCCATCCATCTCACTTTCTCGCTCAATCTCTCTCTCTCTCTTTCTCTCTCTCTCTCTCCGTCTGTATCTCTCACACATAAACTACTTCTCTCTCTCTTCCATCTTCACCCCCCGCACTCTCTCTCTCTCTTTCTTTACTGGTAAGTGTTTTCTATCTTACTGTTCTTTAACGTTTGTATCTCTTTATCCCAACGCTTGTTTTATTCTTATTCTCTTCCGCATTCATTTTTTTTTTGTCATCTTTTTTCTTTTCTTATTACAGTCTCTCTCTCTCTCTCTCTCTTCCATCTCGTCTCTCTCTCTCGTCCATCTCCTCTCTCTCTCTCTCTCTCTCTTTCTATCTTTCGCTTTCTCTCTCCCCGTCTGTATCTCTCACACATAAACTACTTCTCTCTCTCTTCCATCTCCTCTCTCTCTCTCTCTTTCTCTCTCTCTCTTTCTCTCTCTCTCTTTCTCTCTCTCTCTCTCTCTTTCTCTACCAGTAAGTGTTTTCTCTCTATCTTACAGTTCTCTAACGTTTGTACCTCTCTATTCCAACGCTGGTTATAGTCTTATTCTCTTCCACATTAAAATCTTTTGTCATCTTTGTTTTTTTCTTATTACAGTCTCTCTCTATCTCTCTCTATCTTTCGCTTTCTCTCTTCACCCCCCCTCTCTCTCTCTCACAGACACACACACTTTTATATTCTTTTCTCTCTCTCTTTCTCTCTCTCTTGGTCTTTTCATATCTATCTTTACTCGTTCTCTTTCTTTCGCTATTTTTCTCTGCCTTTCTTTTATCTTTGCCGTGTACACCCACTTCCGGTCTTTTCATGTTTACCTTTGCTGCGTACACTTTCTCTCTTTCACCCTGTCTTTCCCTCCCTCAACATCTCTCACTCTGCTTCCGTCTACGTATTCATGTTCACTGCGTATACACAGACATACAGTCACATTCTTATATTCAGTGAGAGTGATAAACACTCACTCTGTCGTTACATATTTATCTTTCACCCCTCCCCCCCTCTCTCTCTCTCACAAACTATCTGTCTTTTTCTCTCTCTTTCTTGATTTTTCGATATTGCTGTGTACACTCACCCCTGGTCTTTTATATGTGTACCTATTTCGACTCGGGTTGAGGAATCGGAGAGCCGAGTTCGTTTCCAGTCGAAACCATTACATTCACTTACGTGCTAATACCCTTGGGAAAGGTATGAATCCTCTTCTTCTTCCCCCTCCCCAGCTATAGGCAAATATCAGGACAGACTATAGCTTTGTATGGCAACTTATCTACCGCAGAAAGAAATGGCAACGTACTGCGGGGAAAAAAATTTACCTCATCAGTCATGTATCGAAAGATACATGATCGTCTAAGCGTGTATCACGCATGGCACATAACTGAGGGATCTGTTGCATACACGTTTTTTTTTCTCTCTCTCTCTCTCAATATATTTATCTTTGCATGTATGCACACACAGACACACACACAGAAAGACACACACACAGACACACACACTCTTTCTCTTTATCTATCTCACTCTCTCTCTATCTTTCTCCTTTTTTTCGCTTTAAGGCTAGATAGTGAGGACTTGGGCAGCTTCAGCCCACATATGACAACAATATATTTGTCTGTTTTTACTCCTGTAAACTCATAGCATGTCAGGAGGAGCCAGATACTTTCTGGATCGGTACAAGGACCCGACCATTTTTCGGTCATCTTTAGCGACGCTACGAATGATTGAGTTCCACTTGTGGTCGGGGGCGTCGTCCCAATAAACGTTCGAGGCAATGAGCTTCATTGAGAATAAAACCGTTCATTAAGACTGTGGCAAATTTGGAATCTGTTCGATGGTGATGAAACGTTACTAGCTTTGTTTTTCGAGATATAGATTAATACACGCTATTCGTCCGCCACCCGCTATTGAACCGTGAGGTCGAGTGCAGTGGATAGATCAGATGCCAGGTTTTGGTTATGTCGATGTTTGGAGTTGCATCCATTACCATGGTATATGTTTTTTCACTAAGGATCTGAGAATGTTCTTAAGCAGATCGTTGAAATAAGATAAGACCGAAGAGAGAGTCTTAGGGTACGCGTGCATTAATCCCATGGTTTTCAGAAGATTGACCATTAGAAAGGTCTTGATAATTGAGAAGACTTCTAGGGATGAAGTTATGTTGCTGGAGTAGCAACCCCCCATACTACACCTTATTTGAATTACGCAATACTTATATATATATATATATATATATATATATATATATATATATACAAAGAAATAATCACGCATAGAATCAATCAGCAATATTAATGCTATTATTGGCGACATCCATCGCTAGTAGTGTATAATGTATGCATTAAAATACTGTTAATCCATAGAGTGATGTGATCCTCATTTATAAAACTGTTGTCTGTTGTTTCCAGTTTGTATTTTTTTTTATAATGCAGGTACTTTCGAATAATCCTTTATTCATCGTCAGGCATATGTTTTCCTTATAAAAGCAAAAACTTGGAGACGAAATTGCATTTTAAAAAAATATAAACTGAAACATGTTTTTATATATATATATATATATATATATATATATATATATATATATATATATATATATATATATATATAAGTGGTTATAGTAGTTCCAACAAGAGAAAAATGTGTATTTTAAAAAGAAGAGATACACCGCAAACGTTTTTGGTTGTAATGTGGATTTTAAAAAAAATAGTATGCTTTCAAAATCATGACATAAACATGTCATCAAATCACTACAAAATAGCCATTTTGTTTCAACACTTCTGGTGTCTTCTCAGGTGATGGTGTTGATTTTTTTGTACTGTTAATCTCTACAAAGTTCTTTTTCTTGTATATGCCGTCTCTCTTGAGAACGTGGGTGATCACGGCTCTCCCCAATGCCCTACGTTTTGCAGCTGTTAGTAATCTTTGTCTTTTTACAATCCCTCACACTCCAAGTTCTCTCAAATATTTACACAAGCTTGGTTAGGCAGGTTTTCTCCAAGCCCTTTTTCCTCAGAAATCTTTCTGACTCTAAGTATAAGGATTCTTGTTTCCATTTTCTTTAAAGATTTCCTCACTGCCCATATGCCAACGTCCATTTTATTCTCAGCATCCTTCTGTAGAAAGACGTATATGTTCCCTCAAATGTCACGCGTATTTGTGTGACAATTGCCAAGCTTTAACTGATACATAGGGGGACTGATATTACATAGCATTCGAGGACTCATTACTTTTTTAAAATTAAATTATCCTATTTCTTAATACTTTGCTTAGCTTTTGGATGGCATCTTTTGTTATTCCAATGCGCCTTATACTGAATTAATAATTTAAGAAATGAAAAAAAAAGAGTAGCATGCTACGCGGAACGTTTTAATTTCACGGCAAGAATGGCGGAGTCGGTCGAATACTGAACAAACGATCTGTACACGTATGATGGAACAATAATTTCTTGTCTAATGCTGAACAGTCGACTGGTACACGAGACATATGATGGCTGGCACAATACGCTCTTGTCTAATGTTGAACAGTCGACTTATACACGGGACACATGATGGCTCAATACTTTCTTGCGTAATACTGCACTCTCGACGTATACACGAGGCACATGATGGCTCAATACCATTTTTGTTTAATGCTGAATAGTTTACCTCTACAATACCTCTGGTGAACCAATACTTTCTTAAAACTAAACATTCGACTTATACACAAGACGTATAATGGATCAATACTTTCTTGTCTAATGATACATTCTCGACCTATACTCGAGACACAGGATTGCTCGACATTTTCTTTTCTAACACTGAACCTTCGACTGATCCACGAAATAGATGATGGCTGGCACAATACTTTATTTTCCAATTCTGAACTTTCGACTTATACACGAGACATATTATGGCTCAATGCTTTCTTGCCTAATGCTGAACAGTCGACCTATGCACGAGACACATGATGGACTAATATTTTCCTAAAACTGAACGTTCGACCTATACACGAGACACATAATGGATCAATGCATTCTACTCTAATACTAAATAGTCGACCTATGCACGAGACACATGATGGACTAATATTTTCCTAAAACTGAACGTTCGACTTATACACGAGACACATTATGGCTCAATACTTTTATACCTAATGCTGAACAGTCGACCTATGCACGAGACACATGATGGACTAATATTTTCCTAAAACTGAACGTTCGACTTATACACGAGACACATTATGGCTCAATACTTTTATGCCTAATGCTGAACAGTCGACCTATGCACGAGACACATGATGGACTAATATTTTCCTAAAACTGAACGTTCGACGTATACACGAGACACATAATAGATTAATTTATTCTACTCTAATACTAAATAGTCGACCTATACACCAAACACATGATGGATCAATTATACTGAGCAGTCGACCAAAAAATGAGACATGATGAGCCAATAGTTTTTTTTTCATAAATACGGAACAGTCGACCTATATACGAGGCGTGTGATGAAGCAATACCTTCTCGTCTAGTGCCAAAGAGTTGAGCAATGTGGATAAAAGGAGGAACTGCCTGAGGACGCTTCATTATATCAAGAGACAGTCATCGTTTTCATTATGTTGTTATCAATTAGAGGGAAAATGTTTGAATATGCTAAAGATGAAATGTCTTAAAAATGATGTCCTCTCTAAGATAACTGTTGATGCTACATGTGGAGAAAAAAAAGAGAGTAATACTAAAAAACAACCACTTTGCCTGAATAACAAAATCTTACAAACAATTCTTAATTCGGTAATGGCGAGACTAGTCGTAAACATTCGGCATTCACTGACAACATTGCTGTCGTTTGAAATTTATAATCTCTTTCTGTTAAAAGCGTGTCCAGGAAAATAGGCTCCTCAAGTCCACTAACTGTTATCGCTCTTTCTGGTACTGATGGGAGTTTCTTTCTAAATATTTTGCATAAAGTGGTGTAGATTCAGTCAGTTATATGTCATGCGTGATACACGCTTAGGCGATCATGTATCGTTCGATACATGACTGAGGAGGCAGATTTTTTTCTCGCAGTAGGTTGCTATTTCTTTCTACGGTAGACCAGTTGCCGTCCAAGGCTATGTCCTGATATTTGCTCAAAGGTAAGGGAAGAAGAAGAAGATTCATATCTTTCCCAAGGGTATTAGCACGTAAGTGAAGCTAATGGATTCGACTGGAATTCGAACTCGGCTCTCTGATTCCTAAATCCGAGCCGCTATCCACCGTGCCTCTTTCTCCCTACTGTGGGAAAAAAAATCTGCCTCGTCATTTATGTATCGAAAGGTACATGATCGCCTAAGCATGTATTACGGATGGCACGTAACTGTCTCAGTGTAGATTATGTTATTATTTTGCCTTTTAGCTACGCGTGCTGTCTATTTTAGTTTTGCTGCTTTTAGAAGCCTTCAAGTGTTGTGGGTTTTGTTATTTTGGTAAAGATTTGGCTTTTTTTGTATCATTGAGAACAAAGTCTTTCTTTCTTTTTGTTTCTAATTTTTCGTTTCTCCTTCCCTTTCCTTCTGCTAAATTGTCTTTCCGGTAGGGTCAGTCTATGAGATCAACTTTAATGTCGTGTTTTGTATGGGGCATCCACTGAGAATCGAACTCATTACTTAGAATCAAAAAGAGACAACTGAAATTTCTAGGACACATAATATGGAAAGAGGGTTTGGAGAATTTGATACTCACAAGACATACTGAAAGCAAGAGGGACAGAGTAGCAAATTGTATAAATATTTGGCAGAACGGCGATTAGGTGGGATAGCAAAAAGACAAAACTTACTTAGAGTTATAATCGATAGAATTTTGGAGAGATATATGGTCTTCCACGTCCTAAAGGGACAGGGCACTGAAGAAGAAGAATTGTCAACCAAACTAGCTTCAGTAAATATTACCACCGACTTAAGGTTAATTTGGTTGCTTTTACACGCCAAAGGAAGATCGAACTCGTCACACAGTTGTAATGGCCTGACTAGCCTCACTTACTTTTATCCCACTTCGTAGTGTTTGAGATAGATATCGATTTATTAAGCATAGCTTAGATA